ACAAAAGGCCTCTACCCCATTCCTTCCCTCACTCGCACTCTCTTTGCCTCCGTCTGTTGTTTTTCGTGGCTCTTCGGCATTTTTTTTTGTGGCTGACGGTTTGGGGCTTAGGGTTCAGGGCTTAGAGGGTTAAGGGCCTATGCAGGCAATGACAATTGTCCTTGTCATCTACGCGTCGGTGATGCTCTGTGGGTACTACGGCTACGGTGAGTTCATGCAATCCGACATCGTGAAATCCATGACCTCCTTTCCGGCCTCCGAAGAGCAGGCGACGGTTCAGTTTTAGGGTTTAGGGCTTAGGGCTTAGGGCTTAGGGCTTAGGGTGTAGGGTTTAGGGCTTAGGGTTTAGGGTTTAGGGCTTAGGGTTCAGGCCTCCTAGGCTCCCAAAGAACCTTCAAACCCACTTGGCACAAACCCCCCTTGGTAGCCCAGTGGTACCCTTTTCACCCTTTTTTTGGGGTTATCAAGTAACGAACCAAAAAAAGGGTGCCCTTAGTACAATATGGTTACTGGGCTACAAAGGACTTCCTAAACCCTAAGCCCTAAGCCCTAAACCCTAAACCCTAAACCCTAAACCCTAAACCCTAAACCCTCAGCCCTAAACCCTAAACCCAGCTGGCCCCTGGAGGCCCTGAACGTGAGCTTTGACGACTGGACTGGGCCGAAAGCGCTGGTCCTCAGGGCCATTTGTGCCTCGCTCCTACTCATCAAGCTCCTCGGCCCCTGTGCATGGCGAGGGTTTAGGGTTTCGGGTTTAGGGTTTAGGGTTTAGGGTTTAGGGTTTAGGGTTTAGGGTTCAAGGTTTAGGGTTTAGGGTTTAGGGTTTGGGGCGAGCAGGGAAACCTAAGCCGGAAGGGCTTTAGACTTTTGGCGCTCAGCGCTTAGTGGCCTCAAGACATATCCAACGACAGTTAGTGAAATGGAGACTGCATCAAGCCTCTACATGCACGATGGGCAGCTAGGAGTTTGAAGAAGGCAGCCGGAATGGTCGCAAAGCCCTAAACCCCAAACCCCAAACCCCAAACCCCAAACCCTAAACCCTAAACCCTAAACCCTAAACCCTAAACCCTAGACCCTAAACCCTAAACCCTAAACCCTAAACCCTAAACCCTAAACCCTAGAAGAGAGAGATTCCATTCCATTCGCGACCGAAGGCTCATCATCGGCATGCCCTTGCGTCGCGGCTTTGGATATCCCAAGCCCTAACCAATCGGGGGGGGGGGGGGGGGGGGGTACCCCTAAACCCTAAACCCTAAACCCTAAACCCTAAACCCTAAACCCTAAACCCTAAACCCTAAACCCTAAACCCTAAACCCTAAACCCTAAACCCTAAACCCTAAACCTAAACCCTAAAACCATACTGCGTCTACCAAGACGACTTACCTAAGTGATAGTCAGTGATAGTCAGCCCAGCCCAGAGCCCCGTTTAATAACTGTACTTGTGCACGAGGGGGCCGAGGGAGGCCGAGCGAGGTTTTGGGTTCCGGGTTTCGGGATTGGGGTTTGGGGTTTGGGGTTTGGGGTTTTTCAAGGAACAAATGGAGGGACCCTCATAAGGGACCTTAGGGGATAAAGGGATATTTAGGGGTTATGTCGGGGCTACTTAGGTATATGGAGACTCTATATGAGGTATATATGGGGGCTATATATGGGTTAACAAGACTAAGGGTCCATTCTGGGGGTGGTTGGGGGTCTGGCTTGGAACATGCCACTGGACTTCATTGGTGACTAGGGCCCTGATTTGTGCGGGCTTCGCACGAGTTGTTGTGGCTGATGGTTGGGTGGGTTCAGGCATTCAAGATGCTGCTTCTTTGAAGGGTTTAGGGTTTAGGGTTTAGGGTTTAGGGTTTAGGGTTTAGGGTTTTGTTGCCCCAAGCAGCCAAGGAATATGATGGTGATTGTCTATTCGTTCCAAACCTACGATGGAACAAAAGATTATTTCCCAGCCGGCAGCGTGGCCAACAAGATCATGCGCATCAGCATGGTGATCATTGCCTTGGTCATCGGCCTGTTTGTGACCAACTTCAACAATCTGTTCTCCCTGGTCTGCTCTGCTTCTTGGCTGCAGGTGCGTCGCGGACATCAAAATACGTTTCCCTTTTTGGGTTCAAGGTTCAGGGTTTAGGGTTTTGGGTTCAAGGTTCAAGGTTCCCCTAAAAAGTCAACGGTCCTCCCTCCACCTTAAGGCCGTGCGGCCCTTCAAACCTCTGGCCCGCGAAATGACACTTCTCCAAAAGCTAAACATCACAACCCCTCACGGCAACCTAGGGGCAGGAATTTGGTTTAGGGGTTTAGGCTCAGTCTCACGTCTCAGGTGTTTGGCCCCTTGTTGCAGTGCTTTCTTCCGCTGTTCCTGAGCTACAAAATCCGCAAGTTGCACGGTGCTCACATGTCAAGCCTGGTACGCCGGCTTGCTCATGCCCTCATCTTCCTGCTCGGCGCTTACTCGCTCAGCATTGGCTTTTACCAATCTCTCCAGGCAATCACCAATCCAGAGTGAACGTGGAATGGTCAACATTGTCCCAACGGTTCTGAGAGAGAAAAAAAAGCCAGGGCAGCACACGAGGCGTTTAGCGTCTCGGCTTTAATTTTGTTTTCCAAGACTCTCGTCCAGGCTGATGGGTCCGTTTGTGTATGACTTGTTTTCCGACCTTACGTCACGCCTGACGGGTGCAACGGGTGCTTCACCCAGATTGGGCCATCTTCCTCCGTCTGTCCTCGGATTGATTATGTCATCTGTGACGAGTCGCTGCAGCCCAGACGGACACCGCTGGCCTCTGTCTCTCCAAGGCGAGCCAGCGACATAGAAAACAGCCTCAAGAATCCAGCAAGATGCTGCATGTTGCGGTGCCGACTTGATGTTTGTTGCTTGCTCTACGGGTGTTGCGGGAAAGCTTTTACTTTCTAGAGCGTGGAGGGGTATCCCAACCGGGCCCATGATTCAGGCTGACACCCGTCTACTGGGCAGCTAGTTGGTTGAGAAGGCCCTTTTACAATGACAGGACCCGAATCCCTAAACCATAAGCTCTGTAGACCCTAATCCCCTAAACTCTGTAGACCCTCATCCCCTAAACCCTAAACCAGAGCCTGTTAGGAAGCCCACGGAGGGGTCTGGGGACTGCTGTGGCGTGGAGGGGGGGCTGTTCTCATCCCTGTTCGCCCACCTAAGAAGCTTCTGAGTGTTTACACAAATACATAAACCCTAAACTCTGAACCCTAAACCCTGAACCCTGGTTTAGGGTTTAGGGTTTAGGGTTTAGGGTTTAGGGTTTAGGGTTTAGCCCTGCACCTCAACCAGGATAGAAGTAGGTCCACTTGGGGAACTCTCCAAAGGGTGCGCTCCGTAGCGAAGTAGAAGCTCCTGAAGCAACCTCCCCCCAACAGACCCAACCCTAAACCTCAACCCTACCCGGGGTTTAGGGTGTCTAGGGTCTAGGGTTTAGGGTTTAGGGTTTAGGTTTAGGGTTTAGGGTTTAGGGTTTAGGGTTTAGGGTTTAGGGTTTAGGGTTTAGGGTTTAGGTTAGGGTTTAGGGTTTAGGGTTTAGGGTTTAGGGTTTAGGGTTTAGGGTTTAGGGTTTAGGGTTTAGGGTTTAGGGTTTAGGGTTTAGGGTTTAGGGTTTAGGGTTTAGGGTTTAGGTTTAGGGTTTTGGGTTTAGGGTGCAGGCTGTGGGGTGTAGAAGGATTGCAGTTCCATGTTTGGCTAGCTTGTTAGATAAGTTAGCGTCTTCTACAAAACCGTTAAACCTAACAGTGGCTCCGCAAGAACAGGAACTGCATCCTAAATCCTGAGCTCTAAACCCTGAACCCTGAACCCTAAATCCTGAGCCCTAAGCCGGGGCCTAGGTAAGGGGTTCTCGGGGTTCTAAACCCTAAACACTAAACCCGACACCCTAAACCCCTAAACCCTAAACCCTAAACCACCTACCCCAAAAAGGTAGGTTGCGTGGGTTCTTAAGGTAGGGATGCGGTAGACAGGGCGATGTTCACGGCCACGAGCGGTGGCGGTGACACGCCTGGCCCTCACTGGCCTGAATGGATACAAAGAAAGGGTGTAGGGTTTAGGGTTTTGGGTTTTGGGTTTAGGGATTAGGGAGGGTTTAGGGTTTCGGGTTGAGGTCCATGGTGCGGGGGTGAAAGAAGTCTCGGTTGTGTTCAGTATCCCTTTTGGTTTCGGCTGGTGAGACGGACTCGTCACTGACCCGCTGGCTCTTAGTAGGGAATGAGGGAATTTGAGCCCTATGGACCTCTCATTCCCTCATTCCCTACTAAGAACCAGCCAGCTGAGTTTGGAAAGAGGGAAAAGGGCTTAGGGTTTAGGGTTTAGGGTTTAGGGTTTAGGGTTTAGGGTATAGGGTTTAAGGGCGATTGGGGAGTCAGAGACTGACGTAAGCTCGGTAGCCCAGCGGCACCCTGTGGTCCGTTCTTGGCGTATGGGTTTCCTTATGGAAGTTTCCCCTAAGGGTCCATGTACCAATTATGGAATACTTGGGCCTTAAAGTACTTCCTATATAAGGACTTTTGGGTCTAAGTATATAATAATAAGGTACATGGACCCTTAGGGTTCCAACACTTGAAACGGTAGCCATATTATAATCTTGTTTGGGCTACCGGGCAAGTTTTTTTGAGCTTGGCGCGAGTGAGTGACTTGGGAGAGTGAGTAAGGGGAGAGTGAGAAAGGCACACCTGAAAGTATCAGGGTTCAGGGCATAGCAGGGGTTTGGACTCACCCGCAGCCCTCAACCCCTAGACACCAACACCATCAACCGTAGCGGGATGAGCCACAAACAGGATCTGCTTTCCCCACCTTACTTACCTCCTACCTAAGGGAGCCAGAATTCTTTCGAAGAGCCAGCAAGCATTGACCAAGCCCTTCGCGAACCGCAAACCCTAGACCCCTAGACCCTAGACCCTAAACCCTAGACCCTCCTAGACCTCGGACCCTCCTAGACCCTAGACCCTAGACCCTCCTAGACCCTAGACCCTCCTAGACCCTAGACCCTCCTAGACCCTAAACCCTAAGCACTGAAGGATGGATGGCCAGGGGCTCATTGGTGGTCAGGCCGAGTTCGTGGCTTTTGGGGGTTTGGGGTGTAGGGTTTAGGGTTTAGGGTTTAGGGTTTAGGGTTTAGGGTCTAGTGCGGTACTGGGTTTAGGGCATTAAGAGTTTCAGGGTTTCGGGTTTCAAAGGGGTCTGCCGCACTGCCTCTCGCTCGCTCGCATAGCTAAGTGCTTTCGCCACCCTGTTCAACCCTGAGAGTAGTGTAGGATGATCGCATCGTGCAACTGGAAGGCCCGACCCTAGGCTTTTGGATTTGGGATTTAGGGAATAGGGTGTAGGGTTTAGGGCTTAGGGCTTAGGGCTTAGGGCTTATGGTTTAGGGTTCAGGGTTCAGGGTTTAGGGTTTAGGGCTTAGGGCTTAAGGCTTAGGGCTTCGGGCTTAGGGCTTAGGGTTTAGGGTTTAGGGTTTAGGCCATTTGCCAACAGGGCATCGCTGGCATCGAGAAGACGCTGAAGTGGAAGCTTTTCTTCTTCATAGGCCGAGTCTTATTTTTTGAGTTTTTGATTGGGAGCCCCTCGCCTGACACCTCAAACCATAGACCCGGAGCCCTAAACCCTAAACCCTAATCCCTGAACTCTAACCGGGTTGTGATTCGGGTCCAGTGCGTTTGGTCTCACTTTGGTCTCCATCGCGTCCAGGCTACAAAGCTTCAACTAGGTCAAAAACTACAGGCTGAGTAAGTTAGTGTTTCGGGTGTAGTCTCGGGTTTGCGGTTTCGGGAGCAAGTTAGTGTTTCGGGTGTCGTCTCGGGTTTAGGGTTTCGGGGTGTTGGGTTTTGTGGTGTTTGGTGCAACTGCGGCCCTACACGCTAAAGATCTAAACCCCACAGGTCTTAAGGTTTAGGGTTTGCGGTTTAGGGTTCAAGGTCTAGGGTTTAGTTTGTAGGGTGTAGGGTTTAGGGTTCAAGGTTTAGTGGAAGAGCAAAAACTTCTGGCCCTAGCCCTAAACCCCAAAACGCGAGTCCCTTTCAGGGTTGAAGGGTTTAGTGGTGGGGGGTCTTGGCTCTCAGTGGTTTTGGGGTTTTCGTTTATAATTCTTGCTCTTAAAGTAGTTCCTAAGTAGTGACTTTGGGCAAGTAGCTACTATGAGCCTATATATCTGTATCTATATCTATATCTATCTCTATCTCTAATTCTATATACATATATATATATATTATGTGTATATATGCACATATACATACATACATACATGCATGCATACATACATATATATATATATATATATCGATTTAGGGCGCGTAACCTAGCACTTGGCCTTCCAGCCCTCCAGACCTAGAGTATATCCATGAAGGTACCATAGGGGACAATCGCTTCCAAAACGGGCCCTGTCACCTAGACCGTCAACCCTCAACCCCATGAAGCCCTAAACCCTAAACCCCAAAACCCTAAACCCTAAGCCTAAACCCTAAACCCTAAACCCCCTAAACCCTAAACCCCATCAAGCCCTAAACCTCCCCCCCGCCCCCCCCTCCGCGCCTTTTCCGGGTTTAGTGTTTATGGCTGAGGGTTTCGTCCTCGCGCCCCACATTAAGGGATGGAAGGAGGGACCTCCAAAAGGGACCCTTCTGCTTCTTCCCCTATATTCCCCCTGTATTCCTTTTATCGTCCCAAAATAGCCCCTGCATTACCCCTAAGGTCCCTCATAAGGGTCCCTCCTTTTTGTCCCTGCCCTGACCACAGCAGCCAGGCAGCTTGGTCGTCCTGATCACGGGCATTGCCTCCGTCTTGTACTGGACCGCGGTTTGTCTCTGGCGGCTACCCGAAGCCACGCAAATCCCTGAACCCGAGGCCCCTTGACCCCAAAGCCTGGGCCCTTAACCCCTAAACCCCTACTAAACCCCTAAACCCCTAAACCCCTAAACCCCTAAACCCCTAAACCCCTAAACCCCTAAACCCCTAAACCCCTAGACCCCTAAACCCCTAAACCCCTAAACCCCTAAACCCCTAAACCCCTAAAACCCCTAAACCCCTAAACCCCGAAACCCTAAACCCTAAACCCTCCCTGAATCCAAAGCCCCTTGAACCCTGAACCCCCGAAGCCAAAAAGGCCCTACACACCAGGAGTTGCCCGCTTCCGCGTTCGGCTTGAGGGCTCCCTCTTCAGGGGTTTAGGGTTTAGGGTTTAGGGTTTAGGGTTTAGGGTTTAGGGTTTAGGGTTTAGGGTTTAGGGTTTAGGGTTTAGGGTTTAGGGTTTAGGGTTTAGGGTTTGGGTTTCTTTTATCAGGCGAAGATCTGCATGATCATCTGAGGAGTAGTTCTAGATTAGAATCGGGGCTCCACGGGCTTCTCCCCTCAGAAGCCACGCCCGAACACGTGGCGTGCAAGCACATGCAGGATGATCCACGTCCAGTGGGCCGGAGCCTCAGTAAGCCTACAGTGAGGGCCCTAGACCCCCCTAAACCCTAAACCCTAGACCCCAAAACCCTCAGCCCTAAACC